ACCTACTGCATGGTATTGTGTATCTATTACTTTTACTTGTGCATTGATTGATCTCACCTACCTAACAAGATTTATCCTTTTGGTGAGAGGTCACTGTTCCATGAGAACGAATCAGATAAATGTATGGTAATCTCTAATCTTATCAACAACCATTCTTTTCATTCATTTTACATGTTTCTAACTCGCAAGTCGCAACGGTAGTTATGTAGCTCATAGGGGTGGATGTTGCACTTCATCTGTTCTGTCAACAGGGACTCAATGGCGAGATTTGGAAAAATGGCTTGAATTTCAAATCCACTTTCATCACTAAGGGAATCTACAATACAATCGTGAATTGCTTAAGAAATCAAGTCACATGACTGAAATAGGAAGTGTTTGAATAAATGATCATTGTCAATGCAAGTTGACAAGGACTCCGTCAACTTGTTGAGACGTATGGAAAAAAAAAATTGTTTATAGCTCCGTCTAGATTCAAAATCTTTGTTGGACATGCTGACTCGTAAAATTTATAATTTCTTATTCAGTTTTACATGTAATTTGATTTTAATCTTAAAAAATATAATAAACACCTAGATAACAATTTATTAGGATAGGAGATGCTTTAACCCTTCTGTGTTAATACTTTTTAGATCAAATCTAGTAACATATATCGACATAGGTCGCAAAATCCTTGCTGAATTCATCATGCCTAGGCAACATATTCCCCTACACTCTCTAATTTTTAGTGATGGGAAAGCAAAAATCGTTTAGAGTTTTTATTGTAGATGAGAGGGAAACTAGCCATATAATGCATATATAAGTTGCAACATTATGAAAACCTAACGAGTCTATATTTATTCATCGCATCAAGAACACACCCGATGCATTGTTAAACTACAATCAATAAAAGCCTAATCATTTTTAGCACAACAATGAAAATCTTGACATTCTCTTCTCAAGAGATTAAATTATGTGCCCGTGTCTGTATTATTTGTGCCAAACTCTAATTGGATTAAATTTTGTATATCCGATGTAACGTGTGTACCAGACACACCGTGCCAACTTTGTTTCACTATGGTGGTCATGCCGGACTGGACAATACTGGAAAAAAATAGCTAGGCGCATTTTATTTCCCAAGTGATCACAAACATAAACGGTATCACTACAACCACATATTTTATGGGTCTCACAATTCTTTAATCACATATTTTATCAATTTTTTATCAAAATATGCTAAAAATCTGATTTTAATTTCCACCAAGCTGTAACGCAGTTTATTAATTTTAGGGTTGGGGTTAAGCAGTTGCTTTCATTGGGTGGAAGAAAGTGAAAGATGGAAGAATAAAGAGGGACAATATATGAAGAATTTCGTGGCCTAATTGTCTAAATCATGATTGACAACAGCACAGGAAAAAGACTTGAACATGGAGCCTTGTGTTACTGTCCAACTTCAGAGCCCACAAACAAAGCTTGTAGCATACTATCGAATATTTTAACTGTTATGAAATAGTAATCTATTGTCTTTCAAGGTGGGTTTTGTCGGCAAACCCTGCCTCAACACATATGAAATAGTAATCTGTTGTCTTTCTTGACAGTTCTTATACCTTGACATGTTGAGTCACATTCTGCGATCTACCTTCTCCACAATGTTATAGGGGCGGGGCTCAAGCTTTTCATATTTACCTCACCTTACAATTTTATATTTTACAATAATTATTTTTCTTTCGGTTTTGGACGATACTCTTGTTTCTAAAGATAATTTGCAAAGTTTTCTTAGGCAAGTGATCATTTTTTAACATTTCATGACATGTTTAAGATGTTGATGCTGAAAAAGTGATCCAAATTCCGAAGTTGATTTTGTGTTTTGGTTGAAAAATGATTTAAAGAGTGATCAAGTATGACGACTGAAGTTTGGAGTAGTAACTGGGCGCTTGGGCGTCCACAGGGCGTCTAGGCGCCAATCAAGATGAAAAGTTGGATTATTTACTGAAACTCAATGCTGAGGTGCCATTGGAAGTGCCGATCTGTCGCTCACTTCTCACTCGAGCGCCGCTCGCCTACTTCTCGAGTGACGGTGTTAAAATTTGTAATGTCTAGAACAAGTTTATTAAAAATGTTAAAATTGTCATCCAATTCCTTAGAGAGATCAATTTTAAAGTTAAAAGAAATTTTAAAGCAAGAAAATTTTATTTTGAGTGGACAATTTTAAATAAAGTTCTTCCAACGTTTTTCAAAGTTTTTCAGTGAAATCTTATTTGCCATCTTTTTGCTAAACATAGTCGGATAAATACAAGATGATAAAAGTATAGACGTGTTCATCGTATTCTTTTTTCTGTTTGTCGTTCACAATATTAAAAAAAGAATTATCAATGGCTTTTGACACATTTTAGTGTACTAAAATACCTTTCACTCTCTATTTTCAAATTGAAAAATCATATTTTCCATTAAAGAAATCCAAGTTAAAATGATGTGTAGACATCTCAACACATAAGAAACACACAAAATAAGCACCTCAAAGATAACCACACAGAGAATCCTAAAGGCCGCAATATACATAATCCTGGATTTTCAGGGTTTCGTGAGATTCGTGATCTCAAATCAAGGGAATGGTCGAACAAGTAAAGTCTAGATGATAATTCTAACAAAATAGTTAACACAACAAAATTATGAATCACAAAACAACCAAATAGCCAAATAACAACGATACCGCAGTTAATATGCAAGTAATTTCTATATTCTAACAACAAGCAATTGTTACCCCCACACGGTAACCTCCAAAGTCTAATAGCCACATCACACGAGGGATTGCTAATATAAGAATATAAACAGGATAAGTCAATTGATCGAGCGAACCAAATCTGCGGGTCCATAAATAAGGAGAGGTGCAAATTTACAATTGTAGCAACGCGATCAATGAAGCTCAAGAAATGAACAACTAGGAGCAAAATGGTCTAGAACCAAAATATTGCCCAAAACTGAAAACCAACACCATCACAGTGTCTGTACTGCTGCCTAGAATAAACCTCCTGGAGACGCCATCGCTAGAAAACCACTTACGCCTCCACGCACCGGAAGACCCTCTGCATGAGTGGTTCATGCGTCAATGCATCAAACGCCACACGCACTATACGCGCTGCCTAGATTTAATGTTTGGTGAAATATGACATTAAGTCTTCGACATACGATAAAGAACCTTAAAAATTCCGAAAAATTCGGTGACATGGCTAAATTAAAAAAAAAAAAGGTGGTTCTTAAAAAAAAAGTTCATGTGATGGTGTTGTCAACTCAACTCGTTTGGCTTCACATCGAAATTTGGTTTTAGCCCTTCATTCTTGTAAAATATTGTAGATGTATATATATACACGTGTGTTTGTGTTGGACGATAAACAACAAAACCTTTTAAGACAGATTAATGGGAAAAAAATATTAGAAAAGATTAAGACAACATTCGACAGATTCTATATTCCCTCCTCACTAAATGACAGACTCATAAAAAAAACCCTACAATTTAAAATTGTTCCATCATTATTTTCGTGCTGAATTAAGTACAGTAAATATTCTTATTAAATTTCATAGAGGTGGTGCACCTTTATTAGAATCTTTACTAGGCTCTAAGAAAAATCGTGTGGAACCCCCATCATATCTCTTCAATTCGGAGCACGATAGCAAATTGATGATTAATATGGGAAAAGCCAACACAGAATTGAAAAGGATAATTGATCTTTACTTTAAAGTAGAATATTGGTGGTGTATCTAATTATTGAACCTTTTCTCTTAGCATAACGAATTCGGCCAACACCTGATCAGTAACATGATTATAGGTAGACAAGATATTCCTACGTAGACAATGATGCTGCTATAGAAAACTTTGTTAGTAAAGATGATGTGTTTGACGAATTAAGGCACTCATAAAATATATTCCATTAAGCTATAGGATAATACGTATATGCATGCATACATATATTCCATATTATTTGACTTTAGGAGCTACGTATATTACATAAAATATATAATCCAATAGTTATGAATACTACCCTGACAAGTGGCATAACGGGTTAGACGATGATGACGAAGGAGATCGAGCAAAGGTCCAAAAGTTCGTGTCGGCGTCGGAGCCTTGATTTGGTCTTGTTAATTGTAACTCGTGATCCTCGAGAGAAAAGCAGAAGTTGTCGTTGGGATCACCATAACACGAGAGTTGCTTCGATGATTCAGCCTGTCCATTGAGCTGAGAGGCCACCAGGCGGTCGAGCTCTGCCCAGTCGGTAGGCCCAGTTTTTAGATCATCAACAGAATTATCATTTTGGTTGGTGCAAGAAGTTTGAATGTCTGTTAGCATATAGCCCATATCTTGTTCACAAGCTGCTTTGAAACTGCTACAATCTTGATCAGTACTGAAGGGTGATTCAATTCTGGGAAGTAATGGAATTGTTGGATTATCCAATCTGTGCAGATGTAGAAAACCAGAATGAAATCCGTCGTTGATTGTTGTTTTGATATGATTGACTAATTGCATCTCATCGTCTTCTTCATCGTTGTTGTTGACATTGCTGTTGTTTATCATCAGTTCGTGTTCTTTCTTGCACGATTGTCGCATGTGCATAATTATCTGATCAAGAATGCCATCATTATTCGAGTTGTGTAGTGGAACACTACTTGAGTAGATTGAAGAGGATGAATTACTCTCTAAAGCTTTGTGGTAATTTTTCTTTTTGAAAACTCGGCAAACCACCCAACCGTCTTCAGGTGACACATCCACCACTAGATTACATGCCTGGATTCGCAACGCATTTATTTTCAGTCAAGTAAACATATACATGTAGCCGTCAACAAATTTATAAATAAATTATACGAGGAAAGAGAGAAAACATATGACACGTATGATAAGATGAATTAGACAAGCTGAGAAAGAAAAAAAAAATTAGAATTTTGTCCATTATTATGGCGTTCCATATGGTATAAAGTATCAAACATACAATTAGTGATCAAAAAGTCCCATAATAATCAAACAAAGCTAGACTAACCAAACCAAGCCACAAGCAGAGTCCAAAGAGTGATGAGTGTAAATCTCACATATAACAAAGATAAAAATAGATGCTAAACATATAAGAATTTTGTCTATTCCTCTAAATGAGACTCATATTTTAAAAGGGATCTCCAAGTCTTAGCCCTTGTTTGGGCTCCATTAAAATCAAATTTTGTAGAAAAATATATTTTAGAATATTGATTTTTGAAAAATGTGTAGTTATAAAAGAAGGAAAAGTTTTGAATTTACATGTAATGTTATTTTATTTGAGAATGTGTAGTTGAATAGAAGAGAATAAAATGGAGCCCAAACAGAGGATTAACATATTTTGGAGTCTATTAAACTCAAACGACCAAATCAATACATTTGAAAGTTTAAAAGAACAATGGAATTCCAAGATTGATATTCTTAAATAACTAATATCTTGCTAATATATGCTAAGAGTGAATCACACGTCGAATAATATAAAGGTTTTGATTACTCATGTTATCAATATTGACATTTCAAGATGGATTCACAGTATATAATGTTCAAACCACCCTATAAGTTTTTGTTTCAAGGATTTGAGACAAAGATAACATTGGTTATTGAACGAAAGAAAGAAAGAGAAAAATCCCTAGAAGCTTCATTGTATAAAAATGTGAAAGTGCCTCCAATAAAGCAATCAAATTATTAGAAAAGAAAATCAAGAAATGGCATACGTTGGGGTCATGAGTTTCGTCCTCGAGCCGATACTCATGCATAATCCAATCTGATTTCTGTCCATGCGGAGCTCGTCCTTTATAGAATACCAGTGTCTTTCTCATTCCAATTCTTTGGAAACTACTTTGTATAACTTTATCACGACCAGTAGCCTTCCAGAATCCGGCAGCAGTTGCACGATTTGTTCGAGTCCCCGTAGGGTATTTTTTGTCCTTGTGGCTAAAGAAATACCAATCATTCTGCGGCGTAGATCCTATTTTACACTTCTCTGCATATCATTCAAAACAAATTCTTTTAAGGAGAAAATAAACTGTTATGGCGTATCAGGTACGAGAAGATTGAATAGCACTTGAATCTAAGATCTTGTAGGCTTAAATTACCTTGAATATCCCATGGCTCGAGCTTGTTAAGATCGACATCATGAATAACATCAAGATCAATCTTTTGGTGAGCTACTTTCTTCCTCAAGTAGTATTGCAGAAGCTCCTCCTCAGTAGGATGAAAACGGAATCCTGGAGGCACCTTGGACTGACCATTTACAGATAAATTCATGTCTTCTGACATCATGCACTAGCTAGTACTAGGTAACCTACGTAGTTGAGAACGTACTACGTGCACAAATTACTCGCTGCCTATATTTAAAACTAAAATCAGTACGTAGCTCACTTTTATGATGATGAATAAGGTTAGAAAGGGCCAAGAGAGAGGAACGTTTTCAAAAAGATAGAAAGAGAGGAGAATAACAACAAAGTAAAGGAATTGTGGTGTGCGTAAAAAGGGTTGGAAAATGATGATTTTATATGAAGTGGTAGGACAACAAGGGTCCAAAAATGCATGAAAAGTTTTGTAACATAGCCAAGTGCCCTTTCAATGTGGGGTCTTTGGCTTCCAGAAGAACCAACCACCTAAATTTAGAGGTAATGTAGGCCCGTTATAGGTACCATATTGTAGGTCCCACTTCAGACGTTAGAGGTTTCCCTATAGTCTTGGTAGGGGAGTGGGGGAGGGCATCTCCAAACTGTGACCCTCGACCTTAAAAATCTCCAAGAAAAGCTCTATTGAAACCACCACACTACTATCCAAAAGAATCTCTCTCTGCCACCATCACTCGAATTAGTTGTGCAACCAATCTGAGATAGGGTCGGAGGCATTGCGCTTTCATGGAAAAAAGTCATGATGGTGTAAAAGATGTAGACAAANTATGCTCCGCCTCGCGTAGTAGTGTACCGCTGCATGCAGCTGCTTTCTTCGACAGTTCTGTTTTGCAGGAGAGATGGTCTAAAGAGTGGGGGTTGGGCTGGTAGAGTGATGGTAGAGAGAGAGAAAAGGAAGAATGGTATTGGATTTAGGAGTTCGGGGATGGTGGGATTATTACGTAGATTAAGTTAAATTAAATTTTTATTAATTACAATTAATATTATCTGATTACCACCTGATATATGAATTTTAAACTTAACTCTCTTATTTATAAAAATTAATATTTAATTGTAGGGTTCTAGGTAATTTTCTCTTATTTTACATAGATCATGTTGGGTTGGGTTTGGTTTGAATTGAATAAAAATCAACCCAACCAAACCCAACCCGCACCCAGCCCTAACTGCAGAATCGTAACTAGTATTTTACTAAATTATTATGAACATTTTTAATGATTTTCATACTTTTATTGTGAATCTTTTAATAATGAAACTATTGTAAAAGTGTAATGCTAGACGAAATCTTCCAAACTATATTTTAATCAACACTAGTGAAGGTCAATCCCAAGCCAACGAGGAACTTGATGCATTGTGTATATCAGTCCCGTTCTCCTGCCCGCGGCGGGCAAGCTTATACTGCCCACTCGGAGAGAACCCAACGTGGGATTCTCACATTTGGAGATAACCTCACGTAGGGTTCTCCTGCCACATCAACAGGTGGGTAGGATAAGATTGTCTGCCGCGAGCAGGAGAACATTCTCGGATACATGTATTAATTGCCTAAGATGAATTGCATGACTTTAAAATATTAGAAACAATATATATAAACGAAAAGACTGCTCGACAATAATGAAAGCAAATTGTGTACTCATACGATACAGGTATTAGTTTCCTATGATGAACCGCGTGACTAAAAAAATATTAGAAACAGTATATATAAACGCAAGGACTGCTCGTTAGTAATGAGAGCAAAACTGTGTTATCGTGGAGACTTGTCTATCTAGAGAATTCATATTAGGAATGTTCAACCATTGTGATTAATTGGAGCCTGCGAGGACTAGGTTTTTGACCTATACTAGCAAACTCTGAAGCGGACAAGAACGAAAATGATCAAGAATAGCCTACACACTTTATGACAAGGAGTATGGTGACATGAAGCCTAAAAAAATTCATGAGATATAAAGTTGATCTTTTTTAAAGTTGATCTTTTTTACTTCCTTAACTCCAAATGATCTCGACTGGTCAAGTTTCCTTGACAGTATTTCATTGTTTGGAATTCACATTGTATGATTCCTCCCAAATTTGCAGTTTAGTATTATTTTCGTATTAATAATATTCCACTGAATAGTGGTTTGAATTAAAAAAAATAAGATTTTTTTTTTCTTAAATTAATTTTTAATTATTTTGGCAAATTTGGATTGAGACTAACGTTGCTACTAGAATTTTCGATATTCAATTAAATCAACAATTATTATTTTATTTTTTTTCTGAAAATTGAAGTAGTTACTAGTCTTGTCCTTAATCTTGTTACATAGCAAAAAGTTCATTTTCTTTATCAATTTTACAAGTGTGTAATCATTACCATTGTCTCTAAATTTTTCCAGCGTTTTATGATTTCTTTTCCATTAAATTAGTTAGGACGTCAATTGTTTGCTCAAACATTTCCACATCGCTCTAGCCCTTTGTACACGACATTTCCTCCTCATTTAGTTGAATAATTGGACTTATACTCCTCCCATTTTTCGTTTTTATAAAAATCAGATTTTTAATAAATTCGCAGAATGTATGATTGAAAAGTCGTGGATCACAAGAAACGTGTGGTTAAAATCAGCTGTTGAAATAATTATGAATTTAGTAAGTGAAAATTTAAAAAAAATTAACATATTCGTAAAATTTACAACCCTGAAATTATCATTCTTTCTAATTAATATTTTGATTGACTAGTTAGTATAAAATCTTAATTCCTTTTCATAGTTATTTGCTGTATACATAATCTTTCATTTTAAAATTGTTAGAAAAAGTACAAAGTTCTGTCATTCCTTTCTCAATTTTTTTTCTTTTTCCTCCATTACTTATAGTTTCCAGCAGTGAATAAGTAGTAGAGAATAACATAAATTGCGAATTATTAGGTGAAATTATTGTGAACATGGTTTGAAATAGGTTAAAGGTGTCTTTATTTTCCAAGAAATCATAAATTTCCCTTTTCTTGATTCTTATATTTGTCGTTTAATCATTGGCGTGTCTCTTCAATTAATCCATTATGACATTTATCGTTGAATCCACCTTAGTGCTGCAACCCGCCTCTAAAATGTTGCAACTTGTGACTACCTATTAGATGAACGTTTTGTACGTGTTGAGCATGCGTACTCTTTGGCAAAATTCTACCAATATAATTTCCCCACTTGTCAAGTGCCATATATGATTGTTAATAACGATAATAACATCACTAAAATTAGAGCACATATACCGTTATGAGGTCATTCCATCGTCTTAATATAATCATGACTTTTATTCTCCTAAATTCTAACCCTAATCATGATTTCAAGCCAACAATTGACGATGCAACCACTTATTTTACTCACCAGCACCACTGCAAATATTTCTTATCTGATTACGCTACTTTACCCTCTCTAGCCTTATAGTTGGTTGTTGTTGAAATTTGTTGTGACTAATTATATCGAGTCCCTTTCATTTTTATTTTTATTAAGGGATTGTTTGATAAAAAAATATTAATTAATTTTGATATAAAAAAAATGACGAAATATGTTATTTTAAAGTTGATCAGAGTTGTGAGTCTCAGAAAATGTATGATTAAAATTAATTGTTGACTTTTATCACAACTTTTAAGCAAATCTTTAAGCTATTCCAAACAAATAATAAAACCCTATTTGATTTTGCTAAAAAAACAGTCTTTTAGTAGATTTTGATAAACGTTAAAAAATTTAATAAAAATTCGATCTCATAGAATAATATATGTGTATCTATGTATTTATTTCTTTAATCACCTTCATGCACCTATACTTGGGATCTTATTGCAGTTAGTTAGAGCAAGAGCTGACAAATTAAATGGCGTGGAATGACGACATATATCAATTTTTTAAGGGACAATTAATTTACTATTAAAAGTTTATTAACGTTGAAGTTTCTATAAATGAGAATAAGTGTCAACTTATGTATAGTAATGTTGCTATATACTTTTTGGGACAAGCACCCACCGCCACTCAACATTTGACAAATTATGGAAGTGTTCAAAAATGTGTAAGATATATTAACATAATTAAAAATGAAATTATGACATCTGCTTATTCGTAATAAAAAAAAAAGGGTGAACTTGATGTATACTTTTAAAAAAAAAAAAAAAACCCTTCAAAATTTGTAATATTATTCCCTTTTCTGGAATTCATCACCCGTCAATATGGTGAAGGGTCATTCCCACGCTACATTTCAATTTTATTGGATAATGTGATAATTATCACACTGCCATATAGACTAACGATGAACTTCACTAGAGATTAATAACATTATTCCTTCAAAAATGAGGTTCTAACTACAACCTATTTAACAATGTGAGATCGCGTGCTTCCTTGACAAAAACTGACAATATGGATGATAAAATCTCAAAGGACTCTCTGTGTGAATTAAAGTTGGAGGAAAAAACGTATTTCGTTTAATATTTCCTTAATTTTAACATCGCGTGCAAATTTTACTTCTACGTTGTTGATTTTGTCACGTGGGAACCTAATATCATAGCATTAAATAGATTGGAGAGTCGAAACCTCACGCAATCTAAAAGATTGAGAAATCCGACCCTAATTTTCTCTAAGAATTATATAAATCTTCCATATTAGCGTAACTTTCACATTTTACAGTTTCTTCTATGCTAAATCAAGTGATATAAAATATTAACGAATTTTTAATAATCTTTATTAATTAAATTATCCTAATACGTGTATTCATTGAGTTGTTAATTATTTCTCAGTGGTATTGCAAAGCATATATTTTTTAGGAAATAAATCATAATTTAATTTTTTAAATATTATAACAATATTTATAATGGTGTTGCTTTCAACTAAAATTAATGTTGTGTCCAAATCAAAAGTGCAAAAAAAAGATATCTTAAGAAATAATAAATTAAAGACTAATTAAAAAGTGTCGTGGTAGATGGACTAAAAGGATGAAGAGCCAACAAGCAAATAATCATATTATGCACAACCAAACCAATGGGAGTCACGTCAAGAATAACAAAATTTTGGCTCGTGGTACGTCTAATCGACTTGCAGAATGTGAGTTTAGAGATTTGTTGGAATAGACAGACTCTGGACTTAGGAATGGGAAAAATCTTTACCAAATTTGAACGGATGGTGATTTTCC